GACCCCGACCCTGTAACCGGCCTCTACACGGCTAAGCTCGGCGACTTCGGCCTCAGCTGCGCCGTCTCCGCCGGCCGCCTGCAGCGCACGCAGAGTGGATCGGTGCTGTTCGTGCCGCGCCCCAACAGCTGGGACCAGATGGCCATGGCGCCGTCGTCCTCTAGCGGCTCTGACCTCACGGGACCGCGCGAGTGAGCGGCCGGCCCGCATCCCATGACTGATTATCCTATTCTCAGCCGCCCTTGCCTCCGCATCCCCCTGCTGGCCCGCATGCTTGTCGCAGAGCCTGTGCATGGCGGCCTGGCTGTGGCGGCGTCCGGCGGCTTTGTGCCTGCACCCCTTCCTCACGCGGCGTGCCCATGACCTTGATCTTGCGACCCCGCAGTGCTCATCCTCGGCCGCCCCGCCTGCCCCCGCCCGCAGCCCCGGCCCCGCGGCGCGCCGCGTGACGCAGCTGCCTGTGCTGCAGGTGGACGAGGGCTTGGGGCGGCCTTGCACCGCGGGCTTCTGGAACAGCCGCATCAAGACGCAGCTGGTGCAGCCGGCGGCGCCCAGACCTGAGCGCTTTGACCTAACGTCACACACAGGTGGGTGATGCATGCTTGGCCGATGCGTGCACCGTGCTTGTTCGAAGACAGGCACAACTGTGTAAGAGCGTGTATGTGTATGTGTGCGTGTGGGAGCGTGAGCGCGTACTCTTTTGCGTGCATGGGGGCCACTCGTGCCGTTAGTGCCGGCCACGGCTGCCGTCGGTTCTCGCCCTCTTACTTTCCATCTGCCCTTCGCCCCCAGGCTCGCTCATGTACATGGCCCCAGAGGTGTACAGGAAGGAAGTCTACGATGAGAAATCAGGTGGGCATCATACGGCTGTTCAGGGCGGCGTCACCAGAGTCACCAGCATCAACCTCGCCACCTGTGTCACCACAACAATAATCAAAGCGAGGGTTGGCGTTGCAGTCCGTCGGTGCTCGCCTTCCAACGCAGACCACACCTTTCCGCGCCTGCAGCACTGTGGTGCCGGCTTGCGCCTGCTGTTTTGCGGGCAGCCGCGCGGCAGGCGTCGCGTGCGCGGTTTACGGGGATGCGCCTGGCGCCTGTTGCTGCAGCCTGAGGTTGGAGGGGCGCACCACGATCTCACCCAGCAAGCAGCTAGCCGCCATGTATGCCCAGACATTCACCACCCTGTTTGTGGGTGCGTTGTTGCCGCATTCTCTTGCCCCCAGATGTCTACTCCTTTGGTGTCATCCTGTATGAGGTGAGCGAGCCGCCCATCGCCGCTGGCAAGCAAGCTTGGCCTAGGCTGCAGACCTGATCCGCCGGGGGTTGTCGCGGTCGCACTTCTGTGGGCAGCCCTCCATCCTACTACGCTACCTTTGCATACGCCGCGACCTCGCGCGCGGCCTGACTCCCAGCTGCCACCGACACAGGCTTGCCGGCCAGCTGCCCCGCCCTGACCCTGGCCAACTAGCCAAGCGCGCGCCCTTAGTGTTCTCATTCACTTTTGATCCTGCCTGGCCAAGAGGCTTATTTCTTTCAGCCAGTCATTGGCGGGTCCGCGGTGACGGAGCGCTGACCTTCGGTCCACCCCTCCTTGCAATCTCCCAACCCCTGATCAAATCCTCCCAAACCCCCAGCAAACTGCGCGGGATAGCGCGCACAGACTCCGTCACACCCCCTGTAATCCCTGATAACACCTGATCAACCAAACCCCGCAGGTTCTGCACAAGTATATGATGCTCAGTGCCGTCTGCACCACAGGGACAGAGGCAGAGATTGAGGCCTACGCGCGGAGCGTCGCTGACGGCTACCGGCCCCCCATCCACGACCACTGGCCCCAGCCGGTGAAGGACCTCATTCGGGTGGGTGGATCCGGCTGGGGTTGCTGGGAATCAGCAGTCTGGTTTGTTTGTAGGAGGGGGTGCGTGCATTTCCTGTGTGTTGCAGGGCGTGGCCTTACGCCGCGTGAGCTCGGGCTGGGTCAGCCTGGCTGGCTGCCGGGCGTCCAGCCGGCATATTTGCCTCCTGGCGCCCAGCGCCGCACGCGCGGGGAAGAGCCGCTGCTGGCAGCTGTGTGGCAGTTTTGACACAAACCTAGCGTGCGACAGTGTGTGCTGATCCCGAGGCTCTCTGGACCGCGACCAAGCGGCTCTTGAACCAATCATATTTCGCGTTGAGCGAGCAGACCTCTGACCGACCCCAATCGGCGGTTTGCTGATCCCTCACCTGTCTGCAGGCCTGCTGGGCCCCAGAGCCCTCGGACCGCCCCTGCATGAACGAGGTTGTGTCGCGGCTGACTGCGATCCAAGATTTGGGGGGCCTCAGCACGAAACACCAAGTCCCTGGAGGTGGCCAGTGCTGCGTCGTCAGCTGAGCTGGTGCGCTCTGCGTGGTCAGCTGAGCGGGTGAGGCCTGCCTGCCGAATTACCATGCGCTACGCTGGTAGAGGCCGTGAGGCGGCTCGCTTACGGGGGAGAACTGGCAAGTACAGGCATGGCCAAGGCATATGAGAGATCAGCGGCAAAGCCTCAACCCCACCTGTGACGCCTGGTGCGCATTCTGGGTACATGTGGGCGCGCGGTCAAACGCCCTGACCCCCTAGATTGCACCAAACATTCAGGCTGCACCTGCAGATGGTACTACACAAACCATTGTTGACCGCAGCAGTACATATCAAGATATAGTCGTTGCTGCTGCAACACGCCCAATGAAAGCCCACCGCCGCCGTTGCGCAGCGTGGGTGTTATTTTTATCAGAGTCTGGCTGTGTTCCACTGAGAATCCGCAACTTCTTCAAAGTTGTGCGGCTTGACAACGCAATTTTAAAGGGGTGGAGCCGCTCCCAAAGGGGCGACGCCACACCATGCTGGGACGCCGCACACCTTGTTGCGCGAGCAGGCCAAGACATCTACCGTTCGTTTGCAATGAACCCTGCACGCACGCGCCGCCACCGGCGAGCCCCGCGCTTCCGCGCTCGCACTGTCCTTGCTGGGCTCCCAATTCCGCAGTATGTCTGCATCTGCAGCCTCAACCAAGCCCCCAAGTGCTGCTTCAAAGCGGCCCTACCTGCAAGTCACGCGCCGCCCGTTGAGCCCTTGATAATGGCTTCGTAAATGGCGCCGCTTCATCACTCCGCCCGTCGCCTTCATGCCAAAAGGGCAGCCCGTACCCGTAATGTGTTGGTTCGGCGCTGACATCCGCTTTAGGTGGCGTATCAACGCGGCGTGCGCGCGATGCTGGTCGGTGCGCCAAATGAAGGGCTGCAATTTGAATGACATCCTTCACTGCAACCCCTCAAGTCAAGGCTTGCTCGCTGCCGCACGACAATCACTCTTACTTACGCGCGCAAATCCGTCCGCCCGCCCGCGACACGCACGCAACGCCAACCAGCGCCGCTCGCCCTCAACCCCTTGTCATGATGGTGTGTGCGTGCGTCAGGTCTAGCAACACTGGTGCCGTGGTTGATTGCCAGCCGCCTGTTGAGCTTGGCATCAGCGGCTGTACAAGCCCAAATTACAGCTGTGTTCTCATAGGCACTTTTCACAAATCATGCCACCATTCAACAAGGCATGCACAGACGCGACGCTTCAGCTTGCCCGGTCACAATTTGCACTGCCGGCAACCAATGTGTTGCTGGTGTCTCAACTTACCCGTGGAACACCGCAACCAATGGGCTCGGCTAACACTCAGAAACTTTCTGGCCTGGAACGGCACGCATCCAGGCCCCGCAGGCGCAGCAAGTCGCCGCTGGATCTGCCGCGTGCTGTGTTCTCACCTCTTGCCGCAACTCATTTTACATTACTGATGGAATGCGTCCTTCTTCGTCTGGCCGTTACGCGATTCTGCGCACCTGCTGTGTAAACAGCCGGGATACTTGGGCACTGCAGGCTGCGGGTTGGCAAAGCAGAGTGTTCCAGGCTTGCCCACTAGCTGTGTGTCTGTGTGTGTACGTGCGTGTGCATGCGTGTGGTGCCAATGCGTGCGCCATTGCAAAGGTGTGCGATTGCAACGAAGGGTGCACGTGTGTGTGTGTGTGTGTGTGTGTGTGTGTGTGTGTGTGTGTGTGCGCGCGCGGACGCGCGCGAGCAGGGACAGGGTAGGGGTGAAGTTCAGGACGTGCCGTGAAGCACTGATGCGCGTCTGGACACCTGCTGGGCAATGGAACCAACGTCAAGGCACTTGTGAGGTACAAGGGGAGTGCGCGTACCTGTTTGGGGTGTCAGGTATCCAGCATTTCAGTTGCACGGCCCAACCATGCCTCACTGGCGGCCATGGCAAAGCCCCCCCTGCACGGTACGAAGGAGACACCCAAAGTCCTGCGAGTAGCATCGCTTGCAGCAGAGATGCGTTATGCCTGGTTTCATTCAAATCTTGCTACGTGTGCTGCTAGTCATGCCGCAACCCCCAACTTCACGGCAATGCCTCGTCGGCTAGCGGCGGGCTCCTAGTCGCCGAGTGCAGTGGCCGGACACCGCCACTGTGCTAGGGATGCAAAGCACCATTGGCGCCTGACTTGCAACCCTCGCAGGGCCGAGCAGAAACGAAGCTCAAGCTTAGGCCGGAAGAGCTGCCTGCGATAAAATATCAGATCGCTAGCACGTGCGCCGTCGGGGCAGCCTCGGCAGCCATGTTTGCACACAAGAGCTCAATAAATGCCTCTAGAGGCATTGGGTCAGGGATGGGGGGTCCCCTGACCTCCTCGAGCATGGTCAGGGTTGTCACCCACAACGGATCACTGGCCTCCACCGCCAGCAGCGTGGCCAAGGGGGTCAGCGCGATGCCTCAAAGCTACCAGCGCACCGGTGAGGCCATTGCCATGCGATGGCGCCACCGATCCGGGCGTTGTGCTTGCATGCGCCGCAACGGCCAGTGGGGTACACCCATGCGCTTGACCCACTACACGAGTTGTGCTTGGCTTCATCACAGGCCGCTACCAGCGCCGCTCCGTGCGCATGGCATCAAGCGCCAGCCTTGCGGCCGGCGGTGGCGGCAGCGATGGGGTCGGTGGCGGGAAGGGCGGTGGTGGCGGCGGTGGTGGCGGTGGCGGCGGCAGCGGCGGCGACAGCAGCGGCGCCGATGCAGGTGAGGTGTGGTCTATGCACGGGGACCTACACCATGGTGTGTCGACCTCGCTGCAGCCCGTGCAGCCCCACCCATGCCCTTGCCGCCGGCCGCCCGTCGCGCCGCTTGGCACCCCCCAATACCTGCCATGCCCTTGGCCCACCCCACCCGCGCACGCCCCTCTGCCTCCGCCGCGGCCTCCTCCCACAAAGCAGACGGCGGCAAGCCCGATCCTGCGGTGACCGCCGCGCTGCTGGCCCTGGGCCGCAGCCTGGCGTCGTTTCCCGCCGACTTTGCCGCCGCAATCAGCTCTGGCAAGGTGGGTTTAGGGTGTGCATGCTTCTCTACGGCGGGACGCATGTCGCGGCCGCGGCTCATGCTGAGGGGTTTGACTAGCAGAGTTGTTGGGGCAGCTGTGGGGCCCTTCGTTGAGCGCGTGGCAATGGGGCGCATGGGACCGCTGCTGGTGGTGCGGCGCTTTCCTTGGTGCAGTTGCGCATGCGGGTTTGGGCGGAGCTGCCAAATGCAGTCTCATGCGTTGGCTCTTCGCGGGGCCGCTTGTGATGGATCTACTGCAAACATGGCAGCTGGGTGGGCGGACGACCCCGACCGGACGCAGGGCCTGCTGGGTTGTCCCGCTGCGAGGTGCAGGGGAGGCTGCAGACAGGAGAGGCCGGCCGACCCCACCCATGCCGATGCGCGCGCGCGCCCCGTCCATGACGCTTTGCATGGCAGCTTACCGTTCGCCGAGGGCGTGCGATGTGCCCGAGCATTGGTGCCGCCGTGCCCACCTCCCGCCGTTGCCAAATTGGACTTTCAAACCAGGTCAACTTGGAGATCCTGCAGCGCTACCTTGATCTGGAGTCAAAGCTTGGCATCGGGTGGCTCATGCAGTTCGCGGGTAAGGCGAATCGTCCCCTCTGTTTCTTAGCGCTTTTACCATGTGAATCGAGCTATCAAAGCTGCGGGGCTGATGTGCGTGCTGTGCGTGAGCGGGTGTCTTGCAACCCTATGTCGCGCGTGTGGCGCGGCCGAGGAGCCAATTGCAGCGTGCTGCGGCGGCTGAACATTCAGCAACAGCTCTGCGGTGCATAGGCGCTTCCACCACACTCGCCTGGGCCACGGCCGCTGCGGCGCGCGCCCCTCCCCCGTGCATGGACCGCGCAGGCTTCCGCGAGCGCTTCCTGGCGGACCCCTCTTTCCTGGTCAAACTCGCCATCGAGGTGAGTGGAAGACGGGGGACTGCTGGCGGCAGCAATCTACGCGGCGGCCAGGGACATTTGCTGAAGGATTCCTGGGTGTTGGTGGGGTTGTGCGGCCCCGCGGTTCAGAGGGTGAAGTGCAACGCTGACCAGGACAGCAGCGCCCTGTGTAGAGTTGAGGAAACCCGGGCCCGACTAACCTTGCCAGCTTTCAGGCCAAGCATGATTCGCACCTCACAAACCGCAGGAACGTGCAAGCACGAGCTCACTCCGGCACACACATGCACACACACACACACAAACACACACACACACACACACACACACACACACACACACACACATGCATGAAGTGCTCGCACGCATGCGCCCGGACACACGCACACTCTCACACGAACCATTCACAAATCACACACACATGCACTCACGTACGCACACTTGCAGTGTGGCATCGGCGTGTGCACCAAGATGACTGCTGAGTACACCAAGCGAGGGGAGTCCTTCAAGAAGGTGAGGCGCCTCTCAAGCCTACCGTGTCCACCAGTCTCACCACCTCGGCAGGGGTATGCGCACGACGGCCCCCTCAACACACCAGCGTCCCTATCAAGACCACCCCCCTCTCCTGCGCACGCGTCGAACATCCACCGTACCCGTGTCATCATGCTGACCCTATCTTACCCGCCACCTGCGGCCCAAACCAGCTCCCTTTCACCCCCACCAACCCCC